ATATACTACTGTACTAAACTGTACTTCCTAACCTTACTATATACTACTGTACTAAACTGCACTTCCTAACCTTACTATATACTACTGTACTAAACTTCACTTCCTAACCTTACGATATAATACTGTACTAAAATTCACTTCCTAATCTCACTGTATAACACTACACTATACTTCACTTCCTAACTTCTTTATAATACTCTACTAAACTTCATTAACTAACTTTACTATATAACACTAGTAAACTTCACTTCCTAACCTCACTGTATAACACTACTAAACTTAAAATAACAATGTATTAAATTTCACATCATAACCTCACTGCACTATTAAACTTCACTTATTAAGCTCACTGCATTATGCTATTTAATTACACTTCATAACATGAGATTCTAGCCTCAATACATGCTTTACTATGTAATGTTAGTATGCATATCAAAGTTCACTGTGACTTAGCAATAAGTCTCAGGCTTTAGACACTAAAAATTGGGTTTCAATGCCTATGGTGGACAGAGCACAGATAGACCAAATAAAATTTCACTTCATAATGTCAATATTTACTTCAGTACTTATTTTAGTACTTTGTATTATGCCCTTACGATTACACTTAAAGCACTGTATTTATTAAACCTATCAGAGAATATAAATTCTGTTTGTCCTGTTTTGTCTGAGAATGTATTAAAATTCATGTTCTTATAAATGTTTTATAGTACTTTTTTTATATACATTATATTGTATGATAGAAAAACAGCTTTGATGGTGTCGCTGAAGTTACGATGTTTTTGGTATGAATATTAGTGTGTGAATGATTTTATTGAAGGGTGTAATATACCCCTTCATAAGAAATTTTAAATTTTGTGGAATAAATAAAAAATAATAATTTTTTGTAGATTAAAAATTTTTGAATTTTTTTTATTGCAGTGTGTCTGTCGAAGGATGGGCATTAACACTGGTGACAGGTTAGCTCAAGACAGTCGTAAGAGAAAGTTCTTAGTGGGACATCTGCCAAGTGATTCAGTAAGAATATGTTTGATTTATTCCGCATGCAGCAATGTGGGGTTGAGTTCATGTTGGGTAACTTGTGTTTTGAAAGTGATTTGGTATTCTTTCGAGGGGGATTCGATGTAATTCAATCGTCAAGGTTTTATAATATGTAACAAAGTAGGTACAAAGTTAGATCACAGTTTGAATATATTTAATACTGACTTCAAGCTAAATGTTCTTGTAATCTGCCAGGTGTTTCCATTGTATCAAGATTTTGATGTCATCCATGACTACCTGCTTACTGCCAACCCCAAGACCCAAGCTCGACTTAGAAAACGGGGTCAAAATGGTAAAGGATGAGATTTTAGCAGATACTTAATTTTATTTATTAGTCTATACAAAATATATGGCTAAAAAGTATAAACTTTCATGAAGTATAAAGTTTATATCATGATGGGTTATCATTGTAATTTCACTCAGAAAATTCTGTGAGTTTATCATGAAGGTTTGATCAGCAATTTTTGTTGAAACCGTAAATGCTGAGTTAATAATTCAGTCACTAACATTTGAATCAACCATTAGCATTGAGTTTGCTATTTAGTCTTACTTTGAATTATTAGAGCTTTGAAAGTTAACCTTTTAGTTGGCTGGTATTTTTTCTGTTACGAGTAAACATATACTTTAACATTTACTGAGTTTTTACTTATTTATTTGACAACGCTGGCTGTGATGACCTCTTAATATAAAAAACAAAACATATTTGATCTCTAATAAAAAATCAAAATAGTGACCTGTTTTATTTACTTCTAAGCAACCATCAGTAAATAAGATGTGTAGTAAGATTATTAACATCAAAATGATTAAGAATTATTTGTA